GAATAGCTGTCATCGCTCTGTCAGTCGATAATTGATAAAACCCGTAGGCAGTAGTCATCATGCCTCTCAAGTATGTAAGTCGTGCTATATAAACACCCAGCTGCATTTCACAGTTTGTTGCTTGCTATACTCCAACTCCTGAACCACCATTCATGAACTCGTTGGTTCTCCAGTCGCCGTTATTAGCACCCCAGATGCTTACATCAATGCCCAGGGAATAGTCCAATCCATGATCCAACCCCAGGCCATCCATTGCACCTTCAAAGGCGTTGTTGAGTTCTGAAGGTCCACCAGGTGCGGCAAGTGCATGAGTGGACGGGGTGGCACCGAGTGTCTCAGAGTGGGCATCGTTGAGAGTAATATCAACGTCCCCATCTCCAGTTGGCGGCGTCCAGGCATCAGTCATGATGGCTTGAGGCACTGCAGGTACATTATTTTGTACAGTGGGGAAATTATCGCGAGGGGGGTTTGCACGGTTGGCGGGGGCAGATGTGGTTGTTGAAAACCCGTCGTCGGGAACCTCAATATCCTTGAAGAGAGAAGGCCGAGATGAAGGAGTGGCTGCGTGGTTTGCTGCGGGCCTTGGTCGGCTGTTTACGTTGGCAAGTGTGTTAAGATCGGGGGGTGTCATGCGAGCAGGCGAAGTTCGAGGCCCAAGTCCCTGTGCAATGACCTTCTCAATGTCGGATCTGATTCCAGCGGCAGCAGCGCCCATGCAGCAGTCTTTGACAGCTTGCAAGCAGACTTTGAAATGCTCCATGACGCTCTCTTGAGTGAGGTTGAGATTGCCAGATTTCGCATGGTAAGCATACTTGAGCATCCTGGTACATTGGTACGCGCAAAGAGCGAGATCGAGGTCAGCGACTGGCTTTGCATGAAGTTTCTGCATTGACAGGAAAATATTAGCCATTGCAATGGCGTGGTCGACGCATTGTCGTTGGCAGTGTTCAATGAAGCTCTCGTCAAAGTTCTCAAGAACAGACCGCGACAGAGCTTCTCGTAGTCCGACAAGGCCGAGACGATACAGATCGCAATGGCATTGGCGCCACCATACATGTATCATCAAGAATACACAGATTCGGGGGGAGTAAGCGCGGAGTTGTAAAGATTTCTCGGAAAATTGGAAGGATGCAGGTAAGTGGGCAGCAAAATCCTCGAGTTCGCCGTGAAGAGAGAGGACGCTGGTTTGGAGGGCTCTTGGATTCACGTCGCGATTCCCCAGAGCCTCTTTAGTGAATTCGCTGATCTTGTGACGTATATGCTGAATGCGTATATGAAGCGCAACACTACCAATGTCCTCAGCCTGTGGTGATCGTTGGTGATCGGGATCCGGGATGAGCTTCTCCGTTTCCTGAGGGAGATCGAACTCAAAGTTTCGTTCGTTACATGGAAGCCCTAAAAATAGTCTCTCGGATCGCCAGAGGGAATAATCCCGGTTGCCGCCTGATATGCCGGCATCGATACAGTATATTGCCCACATGAGCCGTCTTCTGGATTCCTGGGCAAGAAAACAAACGTTGGGCGAATCGTAGTTTAGCCTCAAAGCTACAGCAAACCGTGATGCAATACCGAGAAGAAAGAAGGCGCTTTGAAACCGGTTGGACAAGATTCGGTATTTGATCATGAGGACAAGAGCCTGGACTTTGATGGTGGAAGGGCGGGCGTAGTCGGAAAGAATTAGAGATTCGGCTTCATCTATGCACCTGGCGCCATACGATCGCAGACCCGGCCCCATGTCTGTCAGGTAGGTTGTGACACCAACCAAGGCGAGGAGAAGCGGTCTATCGACCTTGCCTAAGTGATATTGGCCCATGAGGGATGCGCGATGCAAGAAATCGAATGAAGGGATGTGGTGAACATTGCGAAAGAACTTCTCGAACGTCCGACTGATCAGAGAATCAAAAGACTCGTCCAATGAAGGTCTATTATTCGAATATTAGCAAAGGGTGAGGTTTGACTGGGGGGTTTAGAGATTGTGTAGACGGTCCAGATTCTTACCCTTCGTTATTGCTGAACTGGTTTGGTGTCGTCGGGTCTGAGATGTCTGGGAAGCCCGTGTCGCTATTATTATGCCCATCGTCTCGGTGGCTCTCGTCATCGTGACTCTGCGGGCTGTTCCGGCCGGCGCTCATGCTGCTCTTCGTCGACACTCTGGCGCGCTTAGTTGGACGATATACACACTCAATTGCTTGGGCCCGGCACCGATCACAAGCGGGCATGTGACCTGAACAGCGGGCTTTGCGGCTATGACAGCTCAAGCAGGCTTGTTTCACTCGACGCCTGGGGAGCGAGACGGACCATGCGGCAGCGGTTGCGGCGGGGTCAGACGACTCATCATCGTAGGAGCAGGGAAAGCCAAGGCGCTGGCAGTTGGAACAGATGGGCCGGATGCCGTTGCATCGAACCTTGCGCGCTCTACAAGTTGTGCACGTGGACGACGATTTTTTCGGCGGACGATTCGGCGATGGGTAGGCACCCGACGTTGTCGGCAAAGGCTGCTGCGACTGGTCCTGCTGTCGGTCCGAGGGAGCAGAGTCTTGGGGTCGGGTTATCGTGTCCGAGTTTGTCGGGGGTGTAGTGGTGATGTTGGTTGGTGAAGTCGAAGACAAGTCCATGACCGGTCACGCATGGACACACGAGGTTCGCCAACCAATCGCTCGGAACGGTTGCTCAGAGACAAGTCGTACGATTCGCGCCAGTGGATGGTAGGCTCTGGTTCCCAGGCTGACTGGAGGGACAGGAATATCTCGAGGTTGAGTTTGAGAGCAACAGAGAAGAAGCCTAGCGCGGGCCCGGTGAGTCGTATGTCGGTCTGGCTGGTCGAGTGGGCGAGCGGAGGGTGGACGTTTTGGGCAGTTGTAGCAGAGAGAGGCGCAGGTGCTTAGATAGCAGGTGATTCGCAGGCGATTGAGGGCGGAATTAGAGTTGCGGAGGGATCGCAGGGACGGGAAACAAAACAAGAGTGATTGTCGAGTGTGAGAGTGGTGCGTTCCAACCGACGACGCTTTCCCTTTCCACTCCCAAGCGATCGGTTGCGATGATTTTAGTTTCAAGTGGGCGACTCCCCAATGGGAAGCGAACTCCACTTTTTACCTAAACGGCCGCCCCGACAGCCCGCTGGCAGATCTTGCATCAGCCTCGAGTCGGTATACAGCTCGGTGCCTGTCCCTTACCTGGAGGCAATGAGCAGAGGCATTGGGGAGCATGAGGGAGCAGAACGGCCGCGGGCAGGAGCGCGGTCAAGTAGGTATTCGACAAACTTTGAAGAGGGCGCGCTCTAGTCCAAGATGCAAGTCCCAGCAGCACGTCTGTGTGCTAACAGACCTGCATGTACCCAGTACCTGATCGTTGGAGTGCGCCATCGCACCAGAACGGGGTTGATGCAGGCGGCGGTCGAGCAGGTCCGGATTAAGGTGAGACGAGACAGGCCCAGACAGGCAATCAGGCGTGTGTTGCACCCGCTACGACCCCCTACAAGCCGCCACGGCTGCAGCAGCCACTGCATCGATGACGATGAGCCCAAGTACCCAGGTACATGAATGTAGGGTGTCGATTTCGGATCTCGGAATGCCAAGTCGGCAGACCTCTATTCAGTCCCCCACAAACGCGGCTTATTTCCCCAGCATGACGCTCCGACAGCCGCCCGACGGCCGCTATATTATCATCCTGCGCCCCCTGCATTGGGAGTTTTCGCAACCGTGCTCCCACGAATGAAGGTTAAGGTTGAACATCATGCTGCACCGCCGCTGCATTGAACGGTCAGCCAAGCAGCGCCGGTCTAGCTGTCTTTGCTCTTCCCTCTCGTCTCCTTTTTCTTTTGAAACGGAGAACTGGCCTCTTGGCTGTCCGATTGACGCACTCAGAGATGCCAGCGACAGGGTTGTCCTCTGTTGAGCCAATGCGAGCATTCGCACCAAGGATAGCCGAGCCACAACCAGCAGGTCATTCGGATATCAGATTTCTACGTTTCGCCGAACGCACCAAAGTGTAGTCATCATATAGCGTTCTCGAACCGACTACTGGGACACTATTGCTCAATGAAACCATTGTCTGCGCAGTAGCCAGCACCACAACGCAAGTAGACAGGCAAAAGTCCCCGCATAGATCTAGTATGACTTGCTGCATCTGGAGGACCCAGGTAATCAGCCGTCGCCTAGGCCAATCTCTATTTCACAAGCCCCAGAAATTAGGTGAATGTGGCTGGCCTAACTTAAAGCTTTCGAAAGTTCATGTCCACCCTCAGCAAGTGTTCCAATTCTGGTGGGATGTGGATCGGCAAAATGGAACATCTGGGCCAGGGGTCCTGGCCCATTATGCCTTCATAAGGCTGAGGTACTTGTGCATGTTTGGTGCCCGTTGCAATTCACAGTGTGACGCTGCATCTGTTCCGCCGTTGTCAGCTCAACTGGAACGGCTGCCACAACCGCTATGCAACACAATGCCATTCTAAATAACCGAGTCAGGCGGCTCTTCCGAGCAGACTCCGGGTCTGTTCACCTCGTAGGTCACTGAATAAAATAATCGCGTATAGTGTTTTCCGAACTATTCTTTCTAGTATTTACCCTAGCAACTACTTGTGTTTCCTTTCATGTACATAGTAGTCTGTTCATCATACTCTTGATAACGATCTCAAACGACCAGTTTCCGAACCGCATCATTGCTGGTTACATTGTGCTGCCGGGATCGTCCGATACCAACGCCAAGAACACGCAATGTGATATGTCACCTATTTTCTTCTCTCAATTCGCAAAAACCAATAAACATTGGCTTGGCGAAACGAGGCGGGTGAATCTCACTCCAAAGCGCCCGTGTAAGTCGGGCGCATTCGCCAAGAGAAAGACACTGCCACCACACCACAATCGCATCATGCAGACTTTGGTTGAACGGCGAGCCCTCATAAAGCAGCTCGCTTGTTCTTATTGCGCTTGCTATATCAACGCAAAAATCTCCGGCCAGCTCAATTGATTGACCACCTGCATTGACTGAAACTATGCTTCATGATGTTCAATAACGATGAGCAAGCCCCTCCACCATACGACTTCATAGACAAGGCCATCACACCCCCAGGAAACCCATTGACAGAATCTCACCAACATCAGCGTACATCGAAAAATGTAGCCAGTGTCTCGCCAACTCTCGCAGCTCCGAACAACCCCATCCTCCTCGCTCGTCTCTTTGGTAAAGGCTCAAGCACAAAACTAATAGTTTCCACTCGAACTTCATTGGAGGCGTACAATGCCATAGATGGCTCGCATCTCTGGCAAATGCATGGCCGTGACTCTTCAGTTATGAGCGATGGCATCCCCACACAATTTACAGGCAAAATCAGCTCCTCATATGACGGGAACCTGGTCAGTGCCTTGGTCGACGATGACGCGGAGAATCCCAAGTTCATCATCATTGACGGAAATACAGGCGGCCTGGTACACCGATTCAAACTACACAGTGACTGCGGCGACTTCTCATGCCTGTCCTATATGAAGTCTATGTTTGGGGCATTCTACTGGACGGAGAATGAGGCGAGCTGTATCATCGCACAGCCTATTAGACCGGTTGAAGGGGCGGAACCCAGTTCGTTTTGGGCCGAAAAGGTTCCCGCGGGCCGCTGTGTCACCATGGCATTCGCGCCTGATGAGAGACACATCATCGTTTGCCAGGGACCCGACGTCCTCCCAGCTAGTGGTACTGGTGATGTTAATACGCGGAGGCACGGGCAGATGGGCAAGAAATCCGAGAAGAGGCACACCAACCCGGGGAAAGAGAGGGCCGCAAGCAGGAGTTCTAAAAACACCGACTTCACGATTAGCATCTGCGTCTACAACTTTGCCAGGGGGGAGTGTGTCCGCCGGATAACCTTCCCTGGCAAATCTCCAGGCTTCATGGGCCCATTCGACGTTTTCCGACCACCTGCATTCACGCCGCAGTTTCACTTCCCCAATCAGTATAACTGGCTGGTCTCGTTCCCCGACTATGGCTCCGTTAGCGGTGCCAATATCCGGATTGTTGATGCCAGTACAGGAGAAACGATGACGAGTATCGTTGCCAAACAGAGTATGGCCGGTAAGATGCGGGCGGGACTCAGGTGGTCGCTTCTGGGGCTCGATAGTCAGACAGGTATATGGACAAAGCTAGAGGAGAAGCCTACTGTGCTGACAACCTCGTGCAAAACACTCATCATCACCAAGTGGCAGGAGGGTTTTACGGGAGCCGGTCCGGTAACAGAAACCTTGACGGTCGGGTCGGGTGACAGTTGGAGTTTGTCTCCGGATGGCACCTACTTGGCAATCCAACGGGCTGGTGGTGTTGTGATTGATATTATAGCCTTGAGAAGGTGCATTTGACGAGGTACCACAAAACCCTCCTGGATTTTGGTCTCGAATATTAGCATTATACCCCACATGAAATAGAGCATACTCGGAATTCTGTTAATACAACTTGAAAATGTCAGTAAATGGATCCTGTTAACACCAAGTAGCCCTCGAGACTCGAAAACGGCACTAGGACTTGAGCCCCGAAAATAAAGATTGACTCGAACATTGTGTATGAGCCACGAAGATGATAACCACGGCTACTGAAGTTGATTCGGTTAAAGCCCAGTTACCCGATGAACATCTTAGCACAGGCGCACAATCGGGACCATGGAATATTGGGAGTAAAAACTACCACCGTGTTGAGTCTATTTGGAAATAGTGGGTGGCATGCAACATGTTTGGCGGTTCTTCAGCCGAGGGGTAGCCATCTGGCGCAAGTGTCTTGACTCGAAATTTCTTTTCGTCTCTATTCGAGCATGGCTTTGCAAGCACATGAAATGCAAGGTATCCCTAGACGCCCAGTTCGTGCACGTAAACCCCCACTACCGCAGCCGAAACACACAAGAGATTCCCTCCGGCCGGACAGCTTTGCTCCCTCCTGTTAATATACCCGTTCCATTTTTTAATTTGTTTCCCGCTTAAGCCTTCTGGGGCACCTCGGTGATGGTCAGAGCTGTTGATAGATACTTGTTAGCGATGCGTGATAGGTCGAGGTGCGGTCGGCATCTCCCAAGGTCGATGCGAGCCGCGCAAAGGGGGAGGGATGCGTACTAGGAGGCAGACTCTGCTTGAGCTTCTCGGCCTTCTCAGAGTCCTTGAGCACAAGGGTGTAGAGGTTCTTCTGGCATCGGACCTTGAACTTGACGTTTCCGACCTTCTTGTTCTTCTTGATCCGGGCGGCTGTTGGTCAATTATTAGTAATTTTGTCCATCTCTTCTTCCCGATAGGTTTTCATCTCTCGATAGGTTGGTGCGACATACAGGAGGCGTCCTTCCGACGGCAGATCTCGATGAACTAAGCGAACAAATTAATTTTCGATCTTAAGAGAAAGGGCATAGAAGAGCAGGAAGCAATAAAAAAAAGGCCGGTTGAAGCAATGTCCCATTGAATGACTTACCTTCTTGATATCAGCGACCTCACGAGGCATTTTGGCGGTTTGTTCGGGTTGACGGTTGAACAGGGTCTTGTCAATGAAGCGGATGGCGATTTTCGATCAGTTGTGATTTTGAATAGTTGATTTTGTGCGTCGACTGCCGCTGGGGCTGAATGCACGGACCATGTGCAAAAGTGGCTCGAGATGTGGCTGGAGCATTCTTCAGCCACATCTGGACCGAACCACGTCGTCACCAATTGGACTGTGGCGTCATCACGGGTGCTTGAACCGTCCAACTTATATGGACAGATTTCAGTCTGGATTGACAAGACAAATAAAGTAGGACCAGTTACCAAATTTCTGGACTTGCTCTCTTCCTACTCTTGGACAAAGTATCGAATCAACCACACTTATTTTTTGTCTTGCAACCTCAGACAAGATGCCCACTCCACTGGATAACATGATGAGGTCAAAGGTGTGTTTATCAATCTAATGTGACTATACTTCTGTATGACATGTGCTAATTCGGCATGCAAGAACATGGTCTTAGGTATATATCACACCAAAGAGCTCGCTCGGAGCGTCATTCAGGAATGTTTTCGTCGTCACTAACGGAGCACTCTGTAACAGCCTTTGGTGGAGCTGTCGCAGCAGCGGCAGTTTGGAGTATCTGGGGCGGCGACATGTTTCCTGCCGAACCAGACCCCAAAGGGAAGCCTGAAGAATGGACGAGGGAAGAGATGAGGCGGTGGTTGGCAGCTGTGAGAAGGCTCTGCTCCCTTTCGAGGTCTTGGCTAACACATGATGATTTGACCAGAGAAACCTGTTCCCGGGTGAGAGTGACACCAGGGAGGAGCTGTTGGCCCGTGTGTTGGCCAACATGCGGATCCCAAGGTCTTGATTAAGGCCTTCCGGCTATGAGATACATCAATTTGGGCAGAGGCAGAGGAGGACGCATGTTCATAAACTATAAAAATACCCCAATGCATTATTGTTCATTCTAGTCACTGGTGTTGAGTTAATCCAGCCTCTATTTTCAAGATTCAGCAAGTTGACAATGCCTCGCAAGTCTAGGGAGCCAACTTCCTAGGAAGTTAGGCTCATCAGAAATTTCGTTGAAATTATTCGACATAGGCAATTCTCCGCTGCTGACCAGGGTACTGAAGACGTGGAATTCTTCCAGGTTTATAGGCGCCCAACCGACTTGGGATGCCTGTTCTGCACCTGCATTAGCCCATTTGGCGACAAAGACCAGGGGCCAGGAAAAACTACCCACGAGAGCAGAATCAAAATGAAGGCAAAGCAGAGACATTCCATGAGTATTGGCTCAGACTAGGCTGACCTCATTGGTATTTAGGTGATGCAGGCGGAAAGGCACTGCAAGGGCGAATTCAAGCCGCAGCTACAGGCGGCTGTCAGAAAGTCTCGGAGGCAGACCCCAACAAATACTGGAGGTTCCACCCCGCTACCCTTGGCTGATTGCCTGTTTCAGCAGGCACGTGCCTCTGGACGGGGTTGCGGCGCATTGCGCTCTGTCGTGTCCGTGCTGTAGGCCAGCCACGGAATTCCTGGCCGTACCTTAGTGGCACAACTCAACTGGGGACCTGTCGCCTTGCATTTCTTCCCGCTTCTACTTCACGTATCCATCCCTACGTGCTTTTTGCGGGTGCGCACGCTCAGACCATAGATGTCTGCATCACCAACGGCGACACAAATGGAGACACCAGCCGCATTGCCTTCGCCGTTCCACTGACCTGATCTCGGGCCGCTTGACTCTACAGCAGGCGGCAGAGGCTCCGTTGACTGGTATCGGTACCCCCGCGACGTCATCCGTCTGTCCACCTTTTGGGGCGCACAGGCGACTGCCGGATTGCCCAACCCGCCGCCACTGCTACCACCACTGAGACCACGGCCAACACCACCACCACCACCACCACCACCCTCACCATGGCCTTCCTCGAGGACCCCCGCTTGCGCCAGCGATGGAATCAAATCGCCCACGACGCCGAGGCCGTCACTGAAAACGCCGCCGCCGGCATCTGGTCCTTCTCGCATAATTACATCAACCCGTGCCTCGGCTCCGTCGCGAGCTCCATTGAGCAGTGCACCAGCGTCTGCCTCGGCAACCCGGAGGAGCGCCGTCGCCGACGGCGGGAGCGCGAGCGCGGGGAGGCAGCCGAATCCAATTTTGACTTCTACGATGACTGGTACGAGGAGGAGGAGCAGGGCGGCATCCTCGGCGGATGGAGTACCGAGGATTGGGACCGATTGCTGGCCGGGACGGGAAGCCAGAGGAGGCCGCATGGCAGGCAAGAGACGGTGGAACAACCGCGGCGGAAGCGAGGCATGAGTTATGGGACAAGAAGTGGAAGGAGAAAGCCGAGCGGCGCCCAGGACCCGACCATCATCCCCAGCTCGCAACCCATTGGGTTTCTCAGCAAATTCCCATGGAAACTGGGTGGCACGCTGCGGTACAAACCCAGTGCTGCGGATCTTCAGGAACACCCGGGGAGACCTGGCGGCGCTGAATCAGAGCCATTGCTGGGCTCCGATTCATCATCCGACTACGGCGAGATTGTCGTCCCGCGAAAACGAAGCGGGACGACCGGGTCGGGCGACACATCAGATTCCTATCGCTCCAGGGGCGACTTGTTCCCCAGCGATGGCGAAGGGGAAGAGGATGCGATCCCTCTGGACGATGAAATTACATATGATATGGTTCGTAAAGATGACCGGAAAGCCAGAAGGAAGAGCAAGGGAAAGCGGCCTGCTCTGGACGGTTCGCGGACCGTCTCGAGGAGTACATTAGGTACGCTGGCTTCATCTGCGTCACGAGATTCACTTCGACTTGTACGGGCGTCCACTGGATCACTGCCCCATACTGCGGAAGTGGACCATGTTCCATCACTGAAAGATTTGGAAATCGAAGAAGACGAACTACGCGAGGAGGAGGAGGAGAAGATAATCAAACAGAAAGAGGCTGCAACGGAGCTAGCCCTAGCTCGAGGCCTACACCGATCGAGCCGCGAGGAACAAACAGAAGAAGAGATGAAACCAGAGGTGACACCCGACGAGGTTGACGAAATCGAAATGCCCCCATCACCGCGTTCAGCTGAAAGTGCTGGATTATCCGAACAGCGTTCGACCATAGAAGACGGGACATCTGGACCAGACTTGAGACCTGAAACAGCATCTCCAGTGGAGTCAACTGAAGACCCAAAGCATCCTCCTACGAAAGAATTTGTCCCGGCAAGATTGCCATTTTTCTAATCATGGGACCAGCCATTGACCCCGGGTGCAGAAGGAACTGTATCGGGTGGAGTTTCAATTGGCTTTAATGAGTTTATTAGATCGACTCACGCATGTTGTAAGATGTAATATGTGGTGTTACTCGGTGGTTAGAAGATACCAAGCTAATGATAACGTTGATGAAATACTGTTGGCTGTAAGGGAGAGATCGTTCGCGACAAATCCTCCTGTTTATCTCAGCGAGTTCCTTGCCAGTATCCTCATATCTAGGTAGAGGTAAACTCCAACAATATCAGCACAGACGACAAGCGAATAAATGAAAAATGCGAGCGTTTGGTCGCTCAAATCCATTGATGTTGCGAATAGATCCTAAAGCCTCTCATGTCTTGCAAGGGTGCCTACGAGCGAGATGGTACTACGAGCTGGTGTCCTCAGTAGGAAGTGCCTCGGTCTGACCTCCAAACTCCAATTCCCCCGCGCGTTTTCCTACCCCACAACTACGTATAAGCTCTCCCTACCGAGGCCGCGGTTGTTCCCCGATATCTAGATATATTCCAGCCAGGCATCTTATTTTCAAGGACAATAAGATGTAAACAACCCATTTCTCGATTTCCTACCTCTTTTATTCCACTACAGGACTTCACCTAGTCACCGCTCACTGCCACAGCCTTCACCGTCTGTTTGGCGGCGACAACACCCCGGACAGCAGAAGTCAGCAGATCGACGAGGGTACTCACACAGCATTCTCACGCCACTCTTGAGCACCCAGCTCATCGCCTTCACAATGGCCGGCCCCATCACCACGCCGCTGACGACCCTCCTGGGCATCCAGCACCCCATCGTCCTGGCCGGCATGGCCCGGACGTCCGGCGGGGCGCTGGCCGCCGCCGTCTCCAACGCGGGCGGGCTCGGCGTCATCGGCGGCTTCATGTACACGCCGGACCAGCTGCGCGAGATCGTCGCGGAGATGAAGTCCAAGTTCAGCCGCCCCGGTCTGCCCTTCGGCGTCGACCTGGCGCTGCCCCAGGTGGGCGGCGGGGCGCGCAAGACCAACCACGACTACACCAACGGCAAGCTCGAGGAGCTTATTGATATTACCATCGAGAGCGGCGCGGTCCTCTTCGTGTCCGCCGTGGGCGTGCCGCCAAAGCACGTCATCGACAGGCTGCACAAGGCGGGAATCCTGGTCATGAACATGGTCGGGCACCCAAAGCACGCCGTCAAGGCGCTGGACCTGGGCGTCGACATCGTGTGCCCGCAGGGCGGCGAGGGCGGCGGTCACACGGGCAACATCGCCAACTCGGTGCTCATCCCCGCCGTGGTGGACGTGGCGCGGAGCTACAGGCCGCCGATGCTCAAGGGGTCGACGGCGCTGGTTGTCGCGGCGGGAGGCATCGCCAACGGCCGCGGGCTGGCCAGCTCCCTGATGCAGGGCGCCGTGGGCGTGTGGGTTGGCACGCGGTTCGTGGCGTCGGCCGAGGCCGGGTGCAGCGAGCAGCACAAGGAGGAGGTGGTGTCGTGCGGGTACGACGAGACGGACAGGACGCTCGTGCTGTCCGGCAGGCCGCTGAGGCTGAAGCTGAACGACTACATCCGGGACTGGCACTCGCGGCCGCAGGAGATCAAGGAGCTGTGCGACAAGGGCGTCGTGCCCATCGAGAAGGACTTTGACGACGGCAAGGACGTTGATCTGCCGCACCTCATGGGCCAGGTGGCTGGGTCGATAAAGAAGGTCCAGCCAGCTGGTGAGATTGTAGAGGAGATGGTCCAGGAGGCCGTAAGCATGCTCCAGTTGGGAGGAACATATCTAAGTGGTGGGAAGAGCAGGCTGTGAGGCTGGTGTGAATCTGATTTCTGGGTGGTCGCGCTACCCTATAGACAGCGCTCGTTTATTAGTTGATGTTGTAGGTAGAACTATGTATTCTTACGGCCCGACGGATGCCAAGTTTAATCGGTGAATGAATCTGCTTAATGCCTCGTTTTGAATTTATCCACTCTGGCAATTTAGACAGTCTCCTTCTAATTCCCAGTTGACAATACGAGAGCGGACATGAGCCAGGAGAGAGCGTTCCGCGGACCTCGATCACCCGATGACCCGAGTTAAGAGCCCATGATATTATTATTACATACAGGGCTAACTTGTAATGCGCATTTGGTCCCAACCGAAGGACTTCAGAACAGGTGGGGAACAAAGGGCTGTAGTGATCGGCAGTGAACCTCGTATAAGTTCTGAAGAGCGCGCAAATGGGAACTCACCGACCTCGGGACCTCTGCCAGCTTGCAGGGTGTGTACCCTTCAATGACAGGCTTAGTTCATAGCGTCGTATGAAGAAGAGGGTCATTTGCGTTCATCGATCATGAGAGAATACGCTGAGTGCTAGTTGTCATGCATTGCCTGAGTGGATGCGCGGCGCCAGCATTCCCGTCTATTAACGCCATCCAATTCTAGACTAGACGAGGCTCGGAGTGCCCTCGCTGTGAGTAGTTGATAGTACTGCGCCATGCTACATAGTTTGCTTTCCACTTGGCGGGAATTGGAAGGGTTCTGGATGATTTTGAAACCAAAATAATCTCTACACTACCACAATTCCCAAATTGGCCGAGCCGGCAATGTGGAGCTCGCCGATGCCACCCCCGTCCTACTCGGCCATGTGTTATACGAGACTCTATGCCCAAAGTGCAGCAAGTGTGGGCTCGATTTAGGTCAGGTGGGCGGGATGGACACAACTCTATCCCTTCCGGGCTCAACGGCTCCTCATTTCCGGCTGTTTCTGACGACACGCCTTGTTGAGTGCCGACTGGGGAAACCCTTGGCTATTCTATCCTGGGCTGTCGTAAAGTGACCTTCGGATGGCACCGCGGGATCAACATGCAAGGTCATGTTGCATGGAAGAGAAATCACAGCCCACCCTTCTTGGCACGTATCTGCGCGGACCGAGCAGGTCTCGGCAGCCGTCATAGCCATCGAGATGCTGGGTGAGAATGCTGCTTGACGATGACCACTCGAGTATAAAAGGAGTCTTCTCGGCCTCGTTCTCAAAGGCTGAACGATATCATCACTCTCATCTTCATCAAACACATACCAACAGCTTTCAGCTTCAAGAAAAAGTAGCTCTCTACTTCCAACCTACCTCGTTGCCAAATACCAAAAACCGCAACCATGCAGTTCTCTACCGCCGCCCTCTTCACCACCCTCCTCTCTGCCAGCGCTCTCGCAGTCCCGGCTCAGGTCAAGGACATGTCTGCCTCTGCCACCTGGACCATCCAGAGCATGAAGCGCACCTGCAACGGCGACGACACGTCCTGCGACTGGTCCTTCGGCATCAACACCGGTGCCGGGACCACCGCCTGCGCTTACTCCGTCGGCAGGGATGGCAACACCATCGCCAGCCGCTCCCCCAACCGCGGAGCCAACTGCGGCGCATTCACCGTCACCAGCGCCTGGAGCGGCCAGTTCGGCGACGACCACGGCTTCACCACTCTGAGCGTCGTCGACAACGGAGCTCGACTGATCGCCTGGCCCGCCTACACGGACCAGCAGCTCGCTAACGGCCAGGTGGTCCAGCCTGACCAGAGCTACCCCGTCCAGGCTCTGCCTTAAGAGGTTGTCCAATTTGAACGAGGAATCTGGAGGATTGTTGTCTCATGATAGCCTAAATGTATATGAGTAGAGACATTACTCGCCAAGTAATATGATAGTTTGTTAATTGCATAATAAAATCATATATAAGATATTGGAAAAACAACAAGACTTCTTTTTACTACTCTGATTGATAAGAATGCTTGTACAAGTGTAGTAAATTTGTAAATTGCGGAGTGGTTCAGTCGACGTCGATGAAGAAGCAGAAATGAGAACATCAATGCTGACAAGGTACAGAGGTACAATGACCTCGGGCCCCACTCCCCGCCACCCCACTAAATTGCCGAAACGGTCCAAGGAAATCGCTTGTCCTGATAAGCAGAAAAAAAAAGTTGCCTGCAACTTTTCTTATCGAGAAAAGTATCAATCCCAGCGTCGGCTCTGCAATCAAGCGACAATACCAACCCGCCTCAATTCCCCAACTCGACCCTCTATAGCCGATAAAAAATGGGCGCCGCTACTCTCAACAAGAAGCGCAAGCTCAAGGACGCCGAGGAGGCTGTCGCTGCGCCCAAGAAGACCAAGAAGTCTAAGGTCCCCCCACCGGTAGTCGAGCCATCCAGCGACGAGGAAGAGGACGAGGACGAGGAGGACGTTCCTTCAGACGATGAGGATGAGGCTGGAGAGAATGACGAGGAAGAGGATGACAGTGAACAAGACGGCGACGAAGAGAAGGACGAGGAGGAGGATGACGATAAAGACGAAGCCGATGGTGACGACCTCGCGCAGGACAACGCACCGCTCCTCCCTCCCAGCACCGACTCAGAATTGTTCGAGGACATGAACTTGTCAGAAAAGACCATGAAGGCAATCAAAGAGATGGGATTCACCAAGATGACTAGCATTCAGCGCAGTGTAAGTATTGCTCTTAAGCGCTCTCCGCCAGCCACCAAGAGAGATGGAAAACCGAACTAATCCTTTACTCAGGCCATCCCACCCCTACTTGCCGGCAAGGATGTTCTCGGTGCTGCCAAGACCGGTTCAGGAAAGACGTTGGCCTTCCTGATCCCCGCCATCGAGATGCTCAGCTCCCTCCGCTTCAAGCCTCGCAACGGTACTGGCGCCATTGTCGTCTCCCCCACCCGAGAGCTTGCTCTTCAGATCTTCGGCGTCGCCCGCGAACTCATGAAGAACCACTCGCAAACATATGGCATTGTTATTGGAGGCGCAAACCGCAGAGCAGAGGCTGAGAAACTGTCAAAGGGTGTCAACTTGATCATTGCCACCCCTGGCAGACTTCTGGATCACCTGATGAACACACCCTTCGTCTTCAAGAATCTCAAGTCCCTGATTATTGATGAGGCGGACCGAATTCTGGAGGTTGGTTTCGAGGATGAGATGAGGCAGATCGTCAAGATTTTGAAGAACGAAGACCGTCAGACTATGCTCTTCTCGGCTACACAGACCACCAAAGTTGGTAAGTTATGACTATCAATCAGCTTCGTCAGACTTGGGGGTCTATATATCTAACACTGTATCCATAGAGGACCTTGCGCGAATCTCTCTGCGCCCCGGACCGTTATACATCAATGTCGACCAAGAAAAGCAGTACAGTACCGTCGAGGGCCTGGAGCAGGGCTATGTCCTGTGCGAGGCCGATAAGCGCTTCGTCCTGCTGTTCTCTTTCCTGAAGACGATGAAGGACAAGAAGAAGAAGGTCATTGTTTTCTTCAGCAGTTGTAACTCGGTCAAGTACTACGCCGAGCTGCTCAACTACATTGATCTTCCCGTGTTGGACCTGCATGGCAAGCAGAAGCAGCAGAAGCGAACAAATACCTTCTTCGAATTCAGCAATGCCCCCCACGGCATCCTGATCTGCACAGATGTTGCTGCTCGTGGATTGGATGTAAGTTGCTCGGAGGAAAATCATATTTCCTGCCACAGCCGATGCTAATCAAGCTTAACAGATTCCTGCTGTCGATTTCATTGTTCAGTTTGACCCCCCTGACAATGCCACTGATTACATTCACCGCGTCGGCCGAACGGCGCGTGGTACCAATAATAAGGGTCGCTCTCTGATGTTCCTTCAGCCAAACGAGGTCGGATTCCTCACTCACCTCAAGGCCGCCCGTGTGCCCGTCGTCGAGTTCGAGTTCCCCGCCAAGAAGATCAAGCCCGTCCAGTCTCAGCTGGAGAAGCTGATCGGCCAGAACTACTTCCTCTCACAGAGCGCCAAGGAGGCCTTCAAGTCTTATCTGCACGCGTATGCCAGCCACAGCCTGCGGTCCGTGTACGACGTGAACAAGCTCGATCTCACCAAGGTCGCCAAGAGCTTTGGTTTCTCGACGCCTCCACGGGTGGACATCACCCTGGGGCAGAGCATGGGCCGGAACAAGGTGCAGGGCAGGAGGGCGTACGGAAGCCAGCCGAAGCAACACACCGGGTTCAAGGGAAGACGGAAGGCTTAATAGGTCTCACTCAAAAGTAATTTGGGGTTGCGAGGGTAAACAAAAGAGAGTCAGTCATTGTATATAGGCGTTTCTGGTGCCTCATTGTCGGGTGTTTTGCCAAGGCCAGTAAATGAATACTTAGAATATTATTCAGTTGCTCCATTGAATGTGATTTTCAACTTTAATGAGGAGAATCGTGATAGTGATAGCAAGAGAGGATAATGTCGAATTAAGCATAATACCTGAAGCGGTTTGTTCAGTGAGAGTTGCCCCGTCAGTGACTCAGTACAGGCACTGTAGTGATGACCGGGGTGATGAACAGGGCCTGAGCCAAGCTTTAGCTTCGTCAGCTCCTGGAAATTTAGTGAGACGCGGCATTGCACTGCCCATCAAACGCCCTCGTCATTTTCATGCTTGGCTTGATCTGATCAATTGAGCCTCACTCCCATGTGGCAGAGTCTTTCGTTTGTTTTCATTACACTCTCTTGGTTTTCTTTACCTAAACACCTAATTTGCAGACCGGCATCACGCTCCTTCTCGTAACACCCCTACCCAATAGCAGCTCTGTCCTGTATCTGTAGTAGCAGACATAGCTTCCTTGCTTCCATATTGAGGCATCACCCGGCATCAGGTGAAGACAATCAGCCATGGACGCCCATAATGCCATCGTGACCAAGGTCTCGGAGCGCGTCAAGCACTTCCATTCGCTCCAGCAGCCCTTCCGTATTTACCACGGCTCAACCAACAGCACCCGCCAGTCGCACCGCAACGCAGACAACACCGTGGACACCAGCAAGCTCACAAACATCCTCTCCATCGACAAGGAGCGTTCCACCGCTGTTGTAGAGCCCAATGTGCCTCTCGACGCCCTTCTGGATGAGACCCTGAAGGTTGGCCTCATGCCCCCGGTTGTGATGGAGCTGCCCGGAATCACCGTTGGCGGTGGTTTCTCAGGCACCTCTGGAGAGAGCAGCTCGTTCCGCTATGGCGCTTTCGACTCTACCGTGGAGAGCATTGAGATTGTCCTTGCGGACGGCACCATTTCCAAGGCCTCGAGGACCGAGAAGCCCGATCTGTTCTGGGGCGCTGCGTCTGCCTTCGGCACCGTGGGAGTGGTCACTCTGGTTGAGGTCAGGTTGAAGCCCGCCAAGAAGTACGTGGCTCTCACCTACAGCCTCTCCAAGAGTGCCACGGAGTACTGCCAGAAGTTCAGAGAGGAGATTGACAAGGACGATATTGACTTCCTCGACGGCATCTCCTACGCCACGGACTCGACCGTGGTCTGCTCCGGAGTGCTCGTCGACGAGATCCCCGACGGCCAGAAGCAGATCACCTTCTCCCAGCCCAGCGACCCCTGGTTCTACCTCCGCGCACAGGACGTCCAGAAGCCGCTGAGGGAAGGCAAGGCCGTCGTCGACTACATCCCCATCAAGGACTACCTCTTCCGCTTCGACCGCGGCGGCTTCTGGACCGCCCGCTACGCCTTCAAGTACTTCATGACCCCCTTCAACAGCGTCACGCGCCGCGCCCTGAACCGCTTCATGCACACCCGCGACATGTTCCGCGCCATGCACAAGAGCGGCATCCAGGATTTCCACGTCATCCAGGACGTCGGCGTGCCCTTCGACCGCGCCCCGGAGTTCCACCAGTGGCTCGACGACCAGCTCAGCATGTACCCCATCTGGCTCTGCCCTCTGCGCGTCCGCCGCGACGACCCGGACTCGGGGCACGGCCTGCACGCCGAGTTCGCCGACCCGGCCACGACGCCGGAGCTGCTCAACTACGGCGTCTGGGGCCCCGTCGACGGCACCCGCCGCGACGCCATGGAGGCCAACCGCAGGCTGGAGCACAAGGTGCAGGACTTTGGCGGCAAGAAGTGGCTCTACGGCCAGGCCTACTACACCGAGGAGGAGTTCTGGGCCCACTACAACCGCGGGCCCTACGACGCCGTCCGCGAGAAATACGGCGCTGGGTATCTGCCCAACGTGTACGACAAGGTCAAGGTCGACTTTGAGGCCGAGGAGGCGGCGAGGAACGAGACCGCGGTCAAGTCTAGGCTCTATAAGAGCAAGAGGCTGATGGGGCTGTACGGTGTGTATCACGCCTACAAGGGTGGCGATTACTTGATGAAGAAGGAGAAACAGGCGAAGAAGCAGCCCGTTGAGGAGAAGAAGGCCGAGGAAAAGGTCGCGAAGAAGACCGAGGAGACCACACCGTTAGAGACCACGGCAGTGGAGACCAAACCAGAGGAGAACAAGCCCGAAGAGAAGAAGGTAGAGTAATATACGGTTATGGTTTGATATGCCATTGGGAGAAGATGGGCATCGACCGACAACCTCGGTGCTGTTCTTAAATAGACTGCGTTTGAATTTGTCTTTTTGTTTTTTGAAATACCTCGACGCGCAAGCCACTTAGGATAATTGTACAATAATAAACACGTTCGGATATCTTAACATCATCACTTAAATGCAAACCACAACTTGCATCACTCCGAGCGGAAACCGCCCATCCCGCCGGGTTTCTTGCCGCTTAGCTCACCGGCGGCGTTCCTCGCATGTTCCTCCAGCTTCTTCAGCCCGCGCTCTCCCTCCCTCGCGACCGGCTCCATCTGATCCTTCTTGGGGCGCCCTCCCATGAAGTAGGCGAGGCCTGCCAGCACCGCGAGGCCACCGCCAATCGCACGCCTGTGATGGGCCGTCAGTGTTAGCAAGGTCATGTTATCGAGGAGTGCGAAATAAGGTTAATGTCCAACTAGGATAAACTCGAGACACGTACCAGTTCCGCTTTGCGATATCGCTGCCTCCCATCGGCGACTTGGGGATCGATGACTGGCCACCAGGACCATCAAAGGCGCTCTTCCCCGTCGTCAGATTCCGGGTGTTTCGAAGAGGGAGGGAAAGGCGCGGCTGGCGAGTTGCGGCGCGCAGCATTGGGATTCTCGTAAGTGCCACTCTTGGGTACATTGTGTGTATGTTCAATAGTCTTTGTGATTTTACTTGGGATGCGGAAATTGGGTTCTCTCACTCGAATAGACTGGAGGCGGCATTGCTATTAAGTTATTTTCGCAAATCGAGATTCCCCCTCGATGACTTCACCCGGGTTGTGTGTATGATGTGGCGATGACGCTTCGAGATTGTCATGGGAGCCACAAAATGCGGCATGTAACTGCGGACACACTCGCCGCCGAGAACCGCAACCACAGATCTGGATCTGGATCGGTCTTTGGGAAAAACTGACAAATAGGTATTTCTAGCGAATCTTTACCGATTTCGGGGGAGAAAGAGGCGAACATTGTTGCTAAAGAAGTCGAGGTTCCTGTTTGGGTCGCTCAACTGATACTCGATACCTCAACCATATGTGGTATTCCGAGAAACAGTATGTCGCTAGGAAGAGTTCCAAAACAACTTTCAGTATGAAAAAACAATTGCGTAGTTTAATGGGCGTCAGAATAACAGGGACTACAAAGGTCTTTCAACCCCAAATTTCCATTATATGTCACAGTATTGAGAGATAGTATCTAGTTGATAGTAATAACAAACTTATTGGGTAGTCATCAAGCAATACTATCTACCTGTCATTACACAATAGGAAGCCTCACTATGTGATTGACCGCTACAATAATTCTGGCGAGATGACTTTGTAGTCCAGATTTTGATGGCCTGACTCTGTGAGCGAGACTGTCCACCCACACCTAAGATACAATCTTACATAGGCAAGCTGCCAATCAAGTCCTGGCTTGTGCTTCCAATGGCGATCGCTACAGAGACTCTATTTCATGTCCTTTCTCACTACAACAGCACTGCCAACAGGACTAGAAACGCAGTTTATATTCGTTCTTGGCAAACAACATCTATATACCAGCTACAGGAAGCACACCACATCCAACCAACCGAGTATATATTGACAGTAACCAAAAGAAAGCCACGGACCTAAATCATCCATCCACAGCCTACAGCTCGTCACCCATATCCTCACGACCTAGGATAGTCACCTTCTCGATCCTGACCCCGCCGTCCGAGGACTCGCAAGCAGACGACTCAGGGCTCTGCACCTTGGACGTCAGCAGCCTCCCACCTACGTACTCGTAGTAGATCTCGTGCTTGCACGGCCCACCATCCAGGCTCACGCCGTCGTCCGTGTAGAGGAACCCGCTCGCCGACCCGTCCAGCCCGGGCGCGACGAGGAGCTCGAACCCCTTCTGTCGCAGCTCCGTCGTCGTGTTGGCGCTCTCGGAACGCAGGGGCACCACACAGCCGCCGCGGATGTGCACGGGGATCCGGTCATAGCCCACGTAGTCCAAGTTCACCCAGTCGCCCTTACCGCGGACGGGCTTGCGGGTGTCCCACTCGTAGAAGATGTCGTCGGGGAGGTAGATGTCCACGCTGGTCGAGTCCTCGTCCGTCACGGGTGAAACTAGCACGCAGTCGCCGTAGAAGAACTGGTTCTGGATGGGGAAGGTTTTGCTGTCCTCCGGGTAGATGTACCAGAGGGGGTTCAGAGTGGGCGTGCCGTCGACCGACTGCCGGGCCAGGGACGAGTAGATGTAGTCCAGCAACTTGTACCGGATCTCGATGGCGTACTTTGCCGCGCTAGTGACGAGGCCCCAGAGGTAGAACTCCTGGTTGGGTCCCATGGCGTTGTGGTTGCGGTAGAAGGGGTTGAAGGCCCCGAGGCTGGCCCATCGTGCGCAAAGCCGCTCGGTCGCTGTGCCGCCGAAGCCGCAGACCTGAGGAGGAATTCACTGTCAGATATCGAATTGGATAATTAGGGGGGAGAGCCGTTGTACTTACATCGCTTCCCACCATTGGAATTTGGAAGATGGAGGCAAAGTTCAACATTCCAGCAATCTGGATGCGGCTACAACACCAAAAAGGTTAATCTAACAACCTCGAAGAAACATTATGGAAGAGGGAACAAGATGGGGGAAAAGGCGTACTAATGATCCCAGCCTGAGCCGTTGTCTCCAAGCCACTTGGACATGAATCGTCCAGTACCGGCAAAGGTGCTTCGAGAGATGATGAGCGGCTTCAGCCCTGGACGTCTGGCGAGCATCGCCTCCCTGGTAGCCATTCCCATCACTAGATGCAAGAGTCAGTCTCATCCGCAAAATTAGCTGAGTTATCGATCCAAGTTGTCACTCACTTGCACCAAAAAGACTGTGCGTGTCATACGTCGACAGTCCACCCTCATGGTTCAGATCCGTGCGGAGTGTCAAATCGCTAAGCTCCCCGCTTGGAGAACGAGTGTTGATGTGATACGGCGGGTTTAGAAGGTCATCTCCCTCGTGGCTAGGCACCTTCTGTTCCACGGAACCCTGCCCCTGGACCTCGCCTGTCAATTTCTCCTGGTTGCCGAATAGAATCTGGTCCGCGTCCCTCGCTTGAAGGCGCTTCTCGGTCTCTGGGAACCCTGGGATAGGGCGGGGAGGATCTCGCACTGGTGGCGGGTTCGGAGGCAGGCCCTGATCCCTTGCTGCTTGCTCTGGGTCGTCACAGGGGAATCTACAGAAATTGGCCGGCTCATTCATGTCGATCCTGATTTGTGAATACACAGGTTAGAAAGATTGAAATCGGTGGTTGTATCCATCAAGAACGGCACCACTCACCAGACACCATCGATGTTGACACCGGTATCAGGATTGAAGAAGTCATGGAACATCTGAATCCAGTACTCGGTGGTGTTTGGATTAAGCCAGTCGGGATACAAAGTAACACCCTATCCAGTCTTGTCAGTTTCGAACTCATGAGAAAACCATACGAATACGAAACTCTTCATACCGGCCACACGACACTGCGATAGAGTGTCGATTCATTAAACTTGAGGAAGGCGTTCATCTCAACTCCCTTGTTGTAGGGATAGTTGTCGTACTGGGCGATGGCCGGATCGACCATCATGATGTAGTGCTGTTGCCGGCTATGCAGATAGTCGACGATGTTCCGCACCTTGCTGAGTGGGAAGTTCCCAGGATCCAGCGTGAACATGCGTCGGTGGTCCATGTAGTCAATATCCGTCCACATGGTTCTGCACAAACGTTAGCGATCCTGTGTGAACCGAGCCTCGGGGAGGATTCAACCTACTCGAGCGGAATGCCTGCAGTAGAGTAGTTGTAGACCACTTCAGCCACCTCGAACCAGTCTCGATAGCCCCATTTGCATTGATGGAACTGTGGACGGGAGTCAGTAAGAACACAAAGGTCTAGAGGTTATATAAAGGAACTTACACCCAAACTCCAGTATGGGACCATGGCCGGAAGTCCCACCACATCAGAGTACTGCTTCGCCACCTCCACCGGGCTCGGACCCGCGAGGAAGTAAAAGTCGAAGATGCCCCCGATGGCCAGGTACTCGAGATAGCTGTTCCCGTTCTCATCCTGGTCAATCTTCACATCCATCCCGTTCGCGTTCATCAAAAAGACGCCGTGCGTGCCGCCGAGGCGATGGTCCACGTAGACGGGGTGCGTCCCGTACAGATTCTCGCCATAGGGGATCCCGGACGAGTCGCGAGCCCACAGGGTGCGCTTATACCCTTTATTCTGGAGGCGGAACGAGTCCGAGTGCTCCCCCAGGCCGTACAGGTTGGGGTCGCTCGGCAGCCACGTCTTGAGGCGCAGGAACTGGCGCTCGAAGATGAAGGCCGACCCCGTGCTGTCGAAGAGGGCCTCGCCGGTGGACTTGCGCACGACCTTGAAGCTGAAGGGGTTGTGCTTGAACTCAAAGGCGAGCTTGGACTTGGAGGCGACGGAGCCGGCGGCGATCCCGGGGCGAGGGATCACCTCCTCTGGGATCTGGAAGCGCTCACCCTCGCGGTCCTGGATTGCCACCCGGAGTCGCGAGTCTGTCTGATACTCCACGAGCAAAGTGAGGTTCGCGACGTCGGGGCCGTAGACCTGACACCCGGCACCGTTGATACTCAGGTCAGCCTGCAATCCATGCGCCGTCTCGGTGACTTTGGTGACATTGTAGCCGAGGCAGGACCCAAACTCGGTGTCAACATTCAACGCATAGGCAAAGGTGAGGATGGCCGACAGGGCCAATAATATATGCCTAATGAGCAGCATCTTGTCTAAAACCCAAGGATAATCGTGTCACAGCAATACAAATAATAGGAAGGTTCGGAATTGAACCGATTTAGATGGGAAGGAGGGCACTGCTCCCTCTAACCCCTCTTCTCAAGTATGAAATTAATTCACCCAGAGGCCAATATCTCCGGCATTGGATGGATGGATTTAGACTGATTCAAAATGCAAGACACGGACGGCTCCGATCCAATAGATAAATAAATAGACAAATACACGGGTAGATGGGCGATGCGGGGAAGTCGAGCTGCGCCGGAACAAAGCGATCAGCCGCTCCTCATTGGGCAGGCCCCCAGACCGTGACTTGACTCATGCCACTTCCCCGCCGGGAGCGTTTCATCGGGCGTATCATCTGGTTCATGTGTCATGTGTCATGTGTTGTTGCCGTTGGTTGCAAATGCGAGGTGGTATTCTGAGCGCGTGAAAATGATGATCGTCATCCAGTACATCATGGTAGCATCCGGCTGCCTCCCGCAGAGATGCAATTACGAGGTGTCACTGTGCATGGAACGAAACAATGTAGGTTATTAAGTATATCATGTAGTATCCAATCATGTAGTATCCAATCACCCTGTCCAAGAGTGCCCACGCACATGAATATATATATATACATACCGGTGCAATGGTATATCACCCGCCCTCCCCTCTCTTCAGATATGATGCTACTGCAAGTCTCATGCCCGGCCACTCGTGATCCGACCAACCTTGCAAACGTATGCCGAGAATACAAATTAGGGAGGCGTATGTCCCAGCCACCCTCCTCGAAGAGAAATCCTATAATAAAAAAAAATATAACCGTAAATCAACACGCGCCTCATGAAGCTGTCGTTGTTGCCTGACAAACCCCGTGTCTATAATCAACCCAAGATCTCCATAAATAAACGCATGACTCCAGGACAGCTATCCATCATGGCCAGGGGGTATCACACAGTTTCTCCGTCAAGGAAGCACAAGCAAGCGCTCGCCAAAAAGAGGGTTGTGGCAAAAAGAAAAAGAAGAGGAAACCTGGAGCTTAGCCAAGCCCCATAAACTCATTCTGGCGCAAGAAACTCTTGGCCAGTTCATCACCACCTTGCTCCGCTGCCTCCATCCAGTGGACAGCAACACACATCAGACCAGGGTCATTCCGGACATCGCCTTCATTGCCACCAGCATCTCCGAGCCCACCACCGCCGTTACCACCTCCTCTTCCTCCAGGTCCGGGATGACCTAGTGAGCCTACACCTCCACCTCCCCCAGAGGCCCTGCCTCTATCATTACGGCCGTACTTGTCCATGACCGTTTGCTTGAACACCTCTCGTGGCTTTGAAAGTGGAAGCGTAGTCCTTTCCACAAATTCTGGGTTTGAGAGATAGAACAGGGCCAGCTCTCTTTGAGCGGTGGGGTAGCCCTCCTTGGCTGTGATGGCGTACATTTTGCCAGCATCTTCAAGCTTGTATGCCGTAGAGGGAGGGGGCGGTGTGCCTGTCGAAGATGGCATAACATCAACCGTAGCTTCATTCACCGTCTTGCGGACATTCGTGTGTGCAGCCACAATCTCGTCTGCCATTTCCACCATTGTCCTGCACACCTCGGACTTGATCTTTAAGGCGGCCAGGCCGGTGTTCCAGAAAGCTTTTCCGCGGTCCGGCTTGTCGAGAACAGATGGAGTCACGAATGAAGCAATGAGCTGTAGGTCGCGGAATAGTGACTGTGGCCGGATGGATGAATCGCGGAACAGAATTTGTAGTTCGCTGGTAATCAAATCTGTGTAACCGGCACCAGTCGAACCGATGGATCTTATGTCGGATCCATTTTGCCGGCCTTGACTACCCAGCCCATTCGAAGCTAGGGAGGAATGCTGCAAGGCCTGTGATCGCCGCTCCCTGACATTGCCAATGGTACCTTCGAGCAGCGTTGGTTTGTAGTCCCGTCCGTGCTCCTCCACAACACTGGAGCCAGCATCAGACCTATTCCACCGAGGCCTCTTGTTGCCATTTGATTGCAGTGAAGCGATTATTAGGCTCTCCAGTTCATTCAGGGCATTCAACTTGGCATAGGGGTTTGGATGGACGGAGAACATATTAAGCAATCGTTGATACGACTTTCGGAATGGAAATGCCCCATCCTCGTCTTTCTGGGAGGAGTTGCTACGGGCGCCCGCTTCACTCGAAGCCGTTGGTGTCTCATTGCCTGGCAGAGAGCGATCATCCGCAATATCAGATGCCCGATCAGAGGACGTATCGCCAGCAACGCGTAGGTTCCCAAAGCTCTTCTTCTTCTCAATGACCCTAGGACGTGCTAGGTTCCGGTGTGACTTTTCTTTGTTCCGGCGAGCACGTCGATCCAGGGCGTTCTTGCGTTCGATGCATTGTTGTCCAATTTGGTTGAACCACACGTCGGTCTCACAACCATGCGCCAAAACCTGGCTGCCAAGGTCGGATAGTAATAGGCTAATCAACGACTGCTTGAGCTCATTGAGAAACCGAGTCTTCTCATCCTCAGCACGGTGTTGAAAGACCGTCTCATTCGACGAAGCCGAAGTCCCTGGCCTCCCTGTAGAAAAGCTTGAATTTGAAGGAAGCAAGCCATGGTTAGGCCCAGAAAAAGTTGTTGAAAGGTTCGTCAAACTTGTAGTTGGTGAATATGCTCGTGATATTCCTGAGCTCGGAGACATTGCTGGTTGAAAGGGGGTCCAGAAAGTACTCGATGAATCCATGTTATTCACCGGAGAGCCTCTGTCAAAGTACTCGTGCCCTTCCATCATATCTGACAATGGTGCACTCCCCCGATGAGAGCCGTGTCTTGAGGAGTCAAAAGAGTGCTGGCTGGGGGCAGACCCGCTGCGAAGATCTCGGTTGATGGAGCCTGGGCGGCTTGAGGATGAGCCGAATCTTCGATCTCCATCACTGATAATACTTGCGTTGTCATCAGCGGACCAGGACTGCTCACGTTCTCGAGCCCTGAGTCTATCGTAAACGAGCTTGTCCCTCTTGTAGAGCTCGCTAGACCATAGAACTGGAGCTTCGCGAAGCGTTTCTCCAACAAGCTTGGAAATGCACCGATCCACCTCACAGCAGAAACGATGTATTCTCTCCTCGCCTTGGCAGAAGTTCTCCATGCCATATTGCTTTAACCAAGCCGTTGTCAACTCAGCCTGATCATCGCTTAGCTTATTTGGTCCTCCCTGCTCTTCCGAAGCTGCGAGAAGATCCATGATTTGGGACTCGGTACGATATAAATAAGAAGGACCTTGCCCGCGGGCCATCTTCGCTCGTGACCGCAAGAATGAGCTTGAATGACGAGAAATCCCCATTGTTTTTAATGCTTGGCAGATGTCGCGGCTGTGTGCGAATTCCTTAGAGTTGCGCACATCAGTCACGTACCACATCTTGTCCCGAACTGCTCTTACTCGCTTCATCATCCGCTCGATCAGGCCTTCGTGACGCTCCTGACTCTGTTTCAGCCAGATGAGCCAAGCATCGTAGTCCTCGATAGCCGCAGCGGATCTGCGAATCGTGTCACGAGGACCACGAGAGAAGATATTGATTAGAGCAGCGAATCCGTTCTGACGAAGCGAAGGCGACGTGAGAGCATTGAGCTGCTTCAACGTCTTCCAGTACACATGAGAAGACACGAAGTCAGCCTGTGCTTTGGATTGTGAAGAAGCTGCTTTGAGCATAGTGATGAGGACTGGCTCTGGACCGTCATCTGCTTCACCCGCGTCGGACACCTTGGAGTCACGCCTTGCCGATGAGGCGAGAGATGAGGTCTCCGCGTTAGCGTGCCTTCTGTAGGGATTGCGGCTGGCCATTGAACTTTCAGTCATGATGACTTTGTTCCTTGACCGGTACTTTTTCAAGCCCGATGCGCGATTGCTCAACTGCGCGGTTCCCTCAGGCTCAAGGCTCCTCGGGATCTCGTAGTCTTGCACCAGGCGAAGAATGGAATCACGGAGTTGGTGGTAATCCTTGTCTAGAGGGGGGCCGCTATTCGCCTCATCCTCGTCAGTATCGGTGCTGGAGGAGTTTTCCTCCTCGTCAAACTCTTCGTCGGGATCATAGGTCATATGAGTTGATAAGCTTTTACCGTCGGTGGAGATGAAAAGAACCATCCAGCGCTCAGCGCATGGATGACAAGAACCCCGCATAACTTCAGGCCCGAGGGTTTGGGTCATTTCGTGCAGAGCAAGACGAAGTCTGTAACCGTCGTCCTCGTACTTGCTCAGGCGCCTCTGTGCCTCGGAGTCCATTGGGGGCGAGTAACGCTGAGGAGTTGTTGACGCTCCATCATCCATAAAGCCATCGGGCGACGTCGTTGTGTCGCTCAAAACAGAAGAGGCACTGGTGCTGATAATGGACACTGTGTCGAAGCTCTTGGGTTGCGAGAAAGGTATTGGCTGCGAGATGGCTGACATTCCTGAAATGGACGCTGGGCCAGATCTGAATGTGCTAGAGGCGGCAGATAAGGGTCTACGCTCTGGGAACAGTGCGTTCACCAGAGAGAGCAAATCCGCAGGGCTGATGACCAAGTACGGGTGTACTTCCACGGTCTCCCTCAGGGAGGTGATTGATCTCGCTGGCAGGAGCTTGGCCGCAGGGACCTTGGACCGCGACCCTTGGAATCTCGCCAAGATGCTTTCCACATGGCCCTTGATCTTTGGAGGGACCTCCACAGGGACGCATGTTGCTGAAGGCTTACCGCTCCACATACTAGAGACATATTCATGAGCCTTCAAGGCAACCTTTTTCAAGATCTTCTCTCGGGCATATGGAGTGATGTGGTAGTCCACAAGCATGCCATACGATTCAGGGTGAATGATGACGCCCAGCAGAAAGACGAAAAAGAGGCACCTCCATACCAGCCATCTAGAAGTGTTTTCGACCAGTTTACGGTCCAGCCTTTTGAGGATTGCGTTTCCTAGCTCGAGAAGGCCTTCGGGGATACCGGTGGCGTCGTCGTCGTCGATCATTTCAAACAAATCGTCGACCGCATTGTTATAGAATTCCTTGGCGGCAACTTCGTCGGAGTGGTTCCAGTCGGAAAGATTGAATCGGGTACCATGCTGATCCTCGGCTCGTTCCAGGAGGAACGCACCGTCTTTGAGAATCTTCATTAGATACCATTCCATATTTGATTTGCCGGACCAGTCCCGCATGGCAGTCCAAATATTCAAAACAGATATGATGAAATGCTCGCCGGTGGACTTTGGTTCGGCTATTAACCTTGCCAGTGCTGTCGCCCAAATATCAGTACGTCGTTGGTCCTCAGAACTGTCCGGACCAGCCGAGTTGGCAAAACAAGCATGGATTAGGATGGATAGCGGGTCGTGTCGTTGGAAGGACAAGAGTCGCTCGATGTCGCCATTGGCACCTCCCTTCACAGACGCACTCGCGTGTGATCTTGCTGCTGACCGGCCGTGGAACGGAAGGACAGATTCCACGGGCTCTAAACCTTTATGATAAGTAAGAAAGGCGTTCAGCTCCGAACTCGTCAGGGCACATATTCTTGTGGCCAAGTAGTCTGGGTTAGTCCGAAGCTGGGTCAGAAAATCAAGGAAAGTTACCCTGGCATCTGCAGATATGTCGTGCAAGAACGAGTTCACTGAGAGGGAAGGGCCAAATGCGAGTGAGGCGGTGGCTTGGGCTTCGGGAGATGCAAGATCGTGCGAGGCCAGAGATTCCATATCCGACTCCAGAAGGGCATATCGGCGTAGTTCATCACAGCTTTTTCGTACATCATGGATGGCATTATACAGAGCAGCGAAATTGTCCTTCTCGTCCCGGCGAAAAGTATCCACGAGGTTTCGATGGGCAACCTCTCCGGCGCGCGTGAGTCGAGCGCTGAGGGCTGTAGAGATTAGTGTCCTCTGCAATCGGATCCGGTTGTTAGCACGCTTGCGCTCCTGGTACTTGGAGAGGCGCACAAGATGCGCAAGCTCCTCCAGGCTCGTATTGTCATTATCGGGGATCAGGTGGGAGTTTGTATAGAGGGAGATGTCCTGCAGGAGAGGCTGAGGGAAGGTGGTCGAGGCCTTGTCGTTCGCCAGTTGGGATTGGATACCAGAGGCCGATAGCTTCCCAGAGTTGTGCCTGGAGTGGCCGTGGGTAGGAGGAGTTGGTTGTGCCACAACCGGCTTCCGGGAGGAGGAGGAGGAGGAGGTCATGTTGGAAGGCTGCTGGTGTTGGTTACCCGTCCTGGAGGAAGCATCCTCGCTGCGGCGCACCGGCAGAGTCTGGTTCAGATCCAGCTTGTGGTTCGGGCTACGAGATCGGTATCGACGTGGGAGGGCAATGGCGACATAGTCATCGGGGGACGGGGTGGGAGATCTCGAGTCGTGCGTGGTGGCCTCGGTGGGTGATACGGCTGTAAGAGACGGCACAAACCATCAGTATGCTGCGAGTGGTGCGAGATTCGACAAGACTTGTAAGAAAAACAAACTGGGCAGACGAGGCGACACAACATACGCGGGGAGGAGTGAATGCGGACTGGCGAAGAGAGAGAGCGTTGCATGGAGATCATAGTGTACCCATTAAGGTCGTGGGGGTCGCGCGCAGTCGGGCAGCTCGAGCAGACAGCTTCGCGGAAGCTGCCTTGGGAGCTAGTCGACAGCGGCCTAAAGATGCTCTACGGGTTGGGCGAACAATAAATCTAGAAGAACAGGACAGAAATAGAAGTAGAAGCAGCAGCACAGCTCGCAGGCCCCGGGGGTTGGTTTCGCTTCGCGTTGGGCAGAATACAGAACGAAAGGATGTCGTCGATCAGGCTGGTATAGCGGAGACGAGGCAGCGCAAGGGCCAGTTCCGGCGGAGAGGTGCGGACCCGGGAAGGAGGGGGGAAGGGTCGGTAGGTGTAGGCTGATGCGAGGGCGGCCCTAGACTAGAAATAGGAAGAAGAGCAGGAGAGAAAGAAGAAAGCAAGAGAGACGAGAGGCGGGAGGTGAGGGGAGGGCGAAGGAGAAAAGAAGAAAAGAATCGGGGCGTCACGCAGGTATCAGATCAGTCAGAGCAGCGAGACACCGGGGATGGGGATGCAGGTGCAAGTCGGGTGTGTGTGGTGCCAATGCGTCAGTCTGGCTGTCTGTGACTGTGTATGATGTGCTGTCTGCCCGTCTGGCGGGCTGCCAAACCGATGGGGCGGCCAGGCCAGGAAGAGCGGGCAGAGCGGTGCTGCCATTGACGTGGTGCTTATACCTGAGCTGGTACATGACATGGCCAGGTCCGAGGGTACCACGAGCAGGCACCAAGTACCTGGGCATCGCCTGCGTCTACATAAAATGTTCACAGCTGAATAATGACAGCCATGCCCGCGAACATTGTGAACGAGTTGTGTCGGGGTTGTGCGTTGCGGCCTCTCATTTGCTGCGTGCTGATGACCGCTAGGCCTAGTGGGAGGGGTGCTGATGAGCGGTGCTGCGCTGTACCTGGGCGCCGTGCGACAGGCTGGGTCGAGGCGCTGCCGGGCTCCCAGTACCTGCCGGTACATGCGGTGCTGGCGCTGCTCTGGCGCTGGCCAACTCTTCCATCGACTGGGTGGTCCCTGCGGGGAGCCGTCGGCAGAGCACGACGGTACCCTGGGGCGGGCCGCGCTAGGCCCAGGTGGGATCCACGGGCATTGGTCTCGACTTATCGCGGCTGCCAGCTCAACAGCTGTCTTGAGTCTTATGCCCTGAGCTGATTGTTGAGGCCCGGTCCATCTGATCTCTGCGAGATGCGCTGGCCACATGAAGCACCCACTCGCGAATGCCACTCCCGCCATTCCCAGACCTACACAGCCTCCGGCCATGTGCAGACCTGCACGCTGGCCCTCGGCGCCGCCGTCCCTGGTTTCGCCATTCGACGGCCTTATGGTTTCCGACCACGTTTCTTCCTGCGCGTCGCCCGTGTCGACCTACATACGTAAGGATGCAGCCGCTGCCCTGGATATATATGTGCATCCGCCTGTACCTCGACGAGTTTGGCTGGATGCCGGGTCGCTGCAGAGCCACCAGCCACTTAAGTGCTTGCTTCCCCTCCCACATCGTTTCCAGCTGCCCTCTCTCAGCGCAAAGGGCCATTACGAGTCAACTACGTGTGCGGTTAGCCGACTTGGATACGTACACGAATACTACTCATGTACGAGACTGTAGGTAGATACGGAGCCATGTCTTTCTTTGCTTGCTCGTGTACCGTGAACCGTATACTAGACCCATGAAACAGCTGTTGCAGGCTGGGCGCTAGACGTCGGTCGTTTGGCCTTCCTATTTGTGCAGGCGGTTTTGCTGCCAGCCGCCCAAGGGTCCGATACTCTGGAGCCTATCGAGATTCTCGAGGATCTCACCAACAGTCCCGCATTTGTGTTATTTTAGACATGATCACACTTTTTTTCCCATGGACTCTTTCCCTCTCTTCTGGTATCACAGCCGCGAGATTGGCCCCCTGCACCCAGACCGACCCCTCCTCTTGTGTCCCAAAGACCCAACCCCTTGGCAATGGGTGGTCCACGCTCGTCCAACTCCCAGTCGGCGATGAGTTGGCACTGCGGGTCCCGTCGAGTTTCCTCCGGCCTGCAGGCAAACACCTCCTCCCCTCGCCCTCTGGCCCCCCTCCTGGCATGTCATGTGTGCCTTGCCTTCTGTTGAGCGTAGGCCTATATGGACACAATGTTAAGCTCCAACCACATAATACCTCGTCCAATGCCGGATCACCCTCATGCATCTCCTCGCCCCTCCCTCCCGCCTGCTCGACCAATCTCTGCCGTCCACGCCATGCAATGCACCCGAGGCAAATATGCCAACTCATAGTCCAATCATTCCTGGCTCCTGCACCTGCACGCAACCGTCCAAACCTCCCAGCGCCTCGACACACCGTCCTGGTCCTCTTGCCATTATGACGGATATGCTTGGTTCACGGGGGGTTCATGCTTAATCCGAGTCCGCCTTGGTCCAGCTCACACCGTGTTTCTGCCTCTCCTTCGCCTCCTCCGATGCCCTCTCACCTGCCCTTCTCCCCAGCCATCCCCCTCCCCTTTACCGTCCCACACCTTGACTGACCCCTACGAGTCCCTGCCCCGGGTCCCATATACCGTGGCCGCCACTAAACTGAAATGCGGCACACCTGCTCAAGGGGACCTACTGCCCCTTTGGGCCGCCCACAGATCGGCTGGGTCATGCAAGTCAGATGCCGCTCATGCAATCAGGTGTTTGTAACCTCTCGATTCTCCTCGGTTTTCCCACCCAGCTTCCCCGGTGAATGCTATGTAGGTACATTCGCCACCGGGCAACTCACGGCATCCAATCGATGCACAATGAGCTGCTTTGCCATCGTACATATAGCAGCTGAGGGACCTCCATAAACAGCCTCTCCTCCATCGATGCTCCCTGTCGGAGGAGTCATATCACGACTCCTGATCCAGCCAGAGCGCGCAACAACACGCTGGGAGTCGCGACTTTTTTTGGTATTGCCGTATACGTCCTCTTGCCTATCAATGCATTGGATGCCCATCCCGGTAGCAGTGACACGCCAGGCTTCCCATCATTTCCCCTTTGCGCTTCCATAGGCTAGCGTAGATGCGCCCTTTGTTTCTGTTGCCTTGGTCAGAATGATACGTTCGAGCAGTATAGGAGAGGTATCGTAGTCATGACTCGGCGAACGCGACGGCACGCGTAATGCTGTTTTCGCCCCAAGCGTACGAGGAGCTGTCTTTACCAGGCAGCAAGGTATCCTCTTCAGGGTAGAAGGACACATATCCCGTACATCTTGTTTTGATTTCGTAACAGATGCCAACATGCTCGAAAGGAGCCGCAAGGACAATAGACGTGTTAAGTAGATGTAATTATCATGTGATTGTTTGATCTACTTGGACAATGCCCGCTTAGACAACGCCCTCCAAGTTTCCCAGTAGTACTGACAACGTTGCGTGTCCTATTGTTCATAGCAGAAGAGATAAATTGGTAAAGAAGGTCAGGTGAACCTTAGGGCGAAACTCTTAAATCAAATCTCCAAGGTCATTTACCAGTAGATTAGTGGAACAGGAAGATAACCCGTTGAAAGGCTAAAACAAATATGCTTAAAACTCTTAAAGTATAGAGCGGTATCAAAGCCACGCAAAGATCCCATGACATTCTAATCTAGCAACGTTTTTGACGAATGGCTCACTTGATTCGTTTGACACCAACTAGATCCGGTAAATAGATAAAAGGCAAATGGATAAAAGATCTAGAATTAGGTTCCAGTCTCATTAGAAACACTATTTTGAAGGTGCAAAGCTTCAGTCATACCAGGACTTTCGGACATTTCTTGAAGATCAAGATCAATCTCGGGTAAGGGGGCCATCACCTTATTGTCAACTGCAAGATATTTTTCTCGTATCCTCTTGGCGAAACAGTGATATAACATCCATAGCAAAAGCAAAAGCCAAATGGGAAATTTCCGAAGGCGGTTGTGACAAACACCTTTAGGAGCATTCCCAACTATAACGACGGTGACTACACATCGTGAAATTTAATGCCTGTTGAACCTGCCGATGTCACACCAAGTATTTCAAGAGGGATAAAGAATTACCAAGACGTGCATATTTCACATTTATCTTCAGATCTACTAGTCGTATAGTTTAAGCCACATGTGTTCGAGCCATCCGGCAGAACAGAATCAGTTTTCCATCTCGAAGCCTCCCAATCCCAGTACGCCGAAAAGAATCATTAACCCCAAGGGGGCGAGACATGCCCAGTCTCTGCATTATGCGCCGAATCTAACATCAAAATCCTTCAGCACGCTCATTATGCTGGCAGCCTCAACCTCGACATCCTTCCGCTTGTGCGTCTTCCTATCCCTATCGTCCATTGGGGTGGTCCTCAACTTGGGGAGCCATGATCCAATGTCATCTGAGGCCTTGTCGAAATGACGGTGGCTAGACAAGGTTTGGTATGCCTCTGCACAGCTCAAGCCTAGACTCGGCAGACTTGGTAAGGTGATCTTCTCTGGCTGCTGTGGCTGACTAGGAGGAGCCGATTTGCAACATCCTCCACCCGGGCCCTTCCCGCCACAGCAACCTCCACTACCGCCCTGCTCACGGCTGAACTTGGCCGACATAAGTCGGCAAAAGAGGCCAGATTTTGGATCGGCTTGACACTGGGCACATGTACCCGGCCCGTTGGCTCCACAGCCTCGGGAGGGAGGCTCAGCGGCCTTGAGACGAGCGTGCGTATTGTTTCGGCGAGGGAGCTTGACAGCGCCGTCGGCCGTCATCTCCATGACCATCAGGTGGGAGGTAGAATCAGGTTCCGAGGGGGGTGGGGTTTGGGTTTGAGAGAGAATGGGAGGCAGGGTATCGGCGGTTGGCGTCATTGCTGGTGTTGCCATGGCTGCTGTATCGGCACAGACACAGTATGTGCCGTCCTTGCAAAATCCGCAGCCATCCTTGAGGTCATTCTCCGTGTGTCGCATAGAATCGTCCTGCCGGACAGAAAAGGATGATGTGATTGGATTGGGTCGATGTCTCTTCTCGCTAGACAGAGAGCCGGAAGGCGAAGCAGCGCGCTTCGC